TGAAGGCAGCCGTTCGCCAACCTGCCTTTTCATTGGTTTCAGTGAGAGGCCCTGGAGGATGTGGGGCCCCGAAAGAGAGCTTGCTTCGGTTGGGGCTGAAGGCACCGCNACGGGTGGGGTGTTGCCCCCTCCCTCCCTCCTTCCCTGGGAGTGCTGCATGCCTGCTCTTTTGGGGCCCGCCGACCCCTTTGAGTTACAGCCCGGAACAAAGAGGGCATCTCCTTCCCTTCACGCTCCTTATGCGTAAAATCCCTTAACTGAGAGACTCCACATATGGAAGGCCAGATCTGGTTCCTGCCCCGCTCCCTGGAGCTCAGGGTGTTGCCCCCTCCCTCCCTCCTTCCCTGGGAGTGCTGCATGCCTGCTCTTTTGGGGCCCGCCGACCCCTTTGAGTTACAGCCCGGAACAAAGAGGGCATCTCCTTCCCTTCACGCTCCTTATGCGTAAAATCCCTTAACTGAGAGACTCCACATATGGAAGGCCAGATCTGGTTCCTGCCCCGCTCCCTGGAGCTCAGCAGCTTCCAGGCTTATAAGCTGAGAGTGACACACCTTTACCAGCTGAAACAGCACAATATTTTGGCTTCTGTGGGTGAGGATGAGGAAGGAATTAACCCTTTGGTAAGTCAGGAAGTGGAGACCTAGCCTTGTTCGTTTGCAGCAAGAAGTGACTGTGATCTTTTTTTTTTCTACAGAGAAGGTGTTCTCTGTTCTGAAATGCAGAATAACAGCAGCCAGTGCTTGGTGTGTTTCTGCACTTAAACTTTTAACCAGGGTGTCCAGAGATTTGGATTGGTAGGGGCTACTTTGGGATGTGGTGGCACAGTGGGTTAAACCACAGAAGCCTCCGGGCTACAAGGTCAAAAGACCAGCCATCGTGAGATCGAATCCACATGAGCTCCCGTCGCTGGCCACATGACCACAGAAACTGTCTTTGGAGAAACGCTGGCTCTACGACTTGGAAACGGGGATGAGCACCGCGCCCTGGAGTCAGACACGACTGGACTAAATGTCAAGGGGAACCTTTACCTTTACTTTGATTTGTTGAACTTGTGAATGGTAACCATAACCCATGGCCAAGCAGAAGGAGACCTCTTAGCACTGCTTTCTACGCTTCTGTCTCCTCCAGCTTGTTCACATCTATATTGTCCTACAGTGGTCTCTTCAGCTGTGGGTAACTATAGTTGTGTCCTTCCAGCACAATAGTTACATCTGCTATCCTGGGTCCAGAGGTTTCTCTTGGAAGGTTTCACGGGGATCATTTGGTCCTAGCACTACTTAACATTTGGATAGAGAGAGTTGTTAACTCCGAAGCGTAGTTTCTCTGAACACTCTTCTTATGATTGATAGGTCAAAGTTTGGAATCTAGAAAAGCGTGATGGTGGGAATCCTCTGTGTACAAGGATTTTCCCTGCAATCCCTGGCAACAAGCCCACCGTCGTGTCTTGCCTCACCGTCCACGAAAATCTCAATTTCATGGCTATTGGTGAGTAGAAACAAAAATGCTGCAGTGAGGTCTAAGGACTGAGCAGATGGCAGCAGGAATCGCGAAGCCAGAGAGGAACCAATAAGTGGGTTCCTAGACAAAGGCCAACCTGACCATCAGAAGAAGAAGCTAAAACAACCAGCCCGGCTCTGTTGTGCTTTGGAGAGGTCATGAAAACAAGCATTCCCTGGAAAAGGCAACAGCCTTGGGGGAAACGGGAGCAACACCAGACCTAACATGACGGAGTAGAGGGAGCTGCAGCCTTGTCTTTGCAAGCTCTGGACCAGGGCTGCTAACAGTTGAGGGGTTTGGAACTTAGCGGTTGATAGAAGTAGGGAAGTGACATGACAACAGCAACAGGGTTTTTTCAGAGAACATTCCTTTGGTTCCCATGCTTCTGCAGTTTCATTTACCTTCCCGTACATTTGTTTAATAACTAGGAATGCAATGGAGCTTGTTACCTCGGCTCCCTTTTCTCCTACAGGCTTTGCGGATGGGAGCATCGTACTGACAAAAGGAGATATCACGAGGGATCGGCACAGCAAAACCCAGATTCTCCACGAAGGGAGTTACCCGGTGACAGGCCTTGCCTTCCGCCAGTCTGGCAAAACCACCCACCTGTTTGTTGCCACGACTGAGAACATCCAGGTGAGAGGATGGGTTGACCGCGGGGTAGAGACAAGGGGTGGAACCCCCCCCCCCGGACAGCTGGTCCAGGAGCCTCCCTTGTGGCACCCAGCACTTCATTGTCGCATCCCTCCTGTGCTCTTGGCAGTGTTACACACTGTCCGTGAAGGATTATCCCCATCTGGAGCTGGACAGTCGGGGCTGTGGACTGCGCTGCTCCACGCTCAGCGACCCCTCCCAGGACCTCCAGTTCATTGTGGCAGGAGATGAGTGCGTGTACCTCTACCAGCCGGATGAGCGCGGGCCCTGCTTCGCCTTCGAGGGCCAGAAGCTGATCGCCCACTGGTATCGGGGCTATCTCATCATCGTGTCGAAGGACAGGAAGACCTCTCCAAAGTAAGGCTGGCCCCCAGGACAGCAGAGTCGCTGCTTTCGTGTGGCCCTGCCCTTTCCCACTCATGTGCCAGTTGGCAGTTTGAACCAGATGTAGGATTGGGCGTGGGCATGGTATTGTCTTCCTGCTCTCTCCGATCCTGTCTTGTTCCTGGGAGGGCTGTTCGTCCACGTTCCTGAGGGCAAGAAGAAGTTTAATGTCTCCTGCAAGTTCTTCCTTGTTTTTTGTTCCTCATCTGCCATAAGGGGTGTTAGCCTAACATGGCTTTACGGCATTGGTCCCCGACCTTGGGCTTCCAGATGTTTCTAGACTACAACTCCCAGAAGCCACCACCTCTGCTGGCCAGGATTTCTGGGAGGTGAAGTCCAAGAACATCTGGGGGCCCAAAGTTGAGGACCACTGCTTTACCGAGGTCTTTCAGTGGGATTTGTACAGATGTTGCAAATTGAGAACGTAGCTGTCATAAAACCCTGGAAAGTTTTACTCGCTATGTGTTGTCAGTCAGGAAGCAGGTACTCCTTCGACCAGCCTATAAAGCTCCCTAGGGCTACAGAATGGCTGGCCAGATGGGTGAATCTGTAGGGAGGGTGGGAATAGGAGCCCTGCCTCATTCAGACAGCTGCAGAATTTGGGTGCTTAGACAGTCCTTGAATAGGCCAGGCAGTTGAATAGCTGCCTGCCCAAGGGTATGTGAGGCAGCTTTGCTGTTTGCCCAGAAACATGGAGGTCTGAAGGCAAGGTAGACAGCAGGAGTCTTGAAGAAGCTGGGCAGAGAATGGCCTCCTTTATTCTTGGTCTCTCTGTGGCAGATCTGAATTTGCTGGGGGTGATCCACAAAATTCTGACAAGCAAATCCTGAACATTTATGACCTGGGCAACAAGTTCATTGCCTACAGCTCTGTCTTTGACGATGTGGTGGATGTCCTGGCGGAGTGGGGATGCCTGTACGTGCTGACAAGAGATCGAAAGCTGCATGCGCTGCAGGAGAAGGACACACAGACCAAACTGGAGGCAAGAGAGTGCCACTACGTCCCTTCGAGGCGGCTGCGCTCAGAGCTGCGGTCTTGCCTGCTGCGGCTCCCTTGGAAGCTTGGTTAAAGACCAGCTCCCTCAGGGCAGGGAGGGCCTTTGGATGTGGGAGCCATTCTGAACCTGCATCGGGCAGGAGGGTCGGCCAAGGCCACCACGGGCTTCTGTGGGACCAAGGTGGGGATCATAAGGGGTTGAAGCCTCGGCTCGGAGGCCCCCCTGAATGACGCTTACGACCCCCTCCCTCACAGAGAAGGGCTTTCTTCCCAACAGATGCTGTTTAAGAAGAACCTCTTTGAGATGGCCATCAATTTGGCCAGGAGCCACCACTTGGACAACGACGGCTTGTCCGAGATCTTCCGCCAGTACGGAGACCATCTGTACAACAAGGGCAATCACGACGGGGCCATTCAGCAGTACATCCGGTAGGGCTCGGGAGGCCTCGGGCGGAGTTTTGCCTTGCTGGATGCTGTGGGGGCGAGGGTGGCTGGGTGGCCGGACTGGACTGGGACTCGGGAGAGCTGAGCTCTGTTTCCCACGAGACTCTCAGCCTGTCCTACTTTGCAGGAGTGTGTTGAGGAGAGAGCAGGGCGGAGAAGGGCTGCTCATGCCTCACTGAGTTGAAGGGTGGGGGGTGCGGAGAGAGGTAGGAAGTGAAGATAACGATGCTGTGAAGTCACCAGGCTGGTTGCAGCCTTGCTTGGGCTGCACAAAGGTGCCCCGCCCATCATCCCCTTACAGGTTCCCTGGGGCATTTCTTCAACCCTTGCTGTGCCCCCCAGGAGGCGGGGAATAAGCCCACCCTCCTGCCACACCAGTCCCTGTGGGTTGATCTGTGGAAGGCACTTTAAGGTTCTGTGTCTTTCTGAGGAGTTGGGATGTGCTCGTTAGGTGTTTGTGTGACACCTGTGGGTTCCCGGGGCCCTCCTGGCCCTTGGTTTTCCGTGACGGGGGACAGGGTCCCCTGAAACTCTCTTTCTTCTCAGTACCATTGGGAAGCTGGAGCCGTCTTATGTCATCCGCAAGTTCCTGGATGCTCAGCGGATACACAACCTGACGGCCTATTTGCAGATGCTGCACCTGCAGTCCCTGGCCAACGCGGACCACACGACTCTGCTGCTTAACTGCTACACCAAGCTGAAGGACATCTCCAAACTGGAAGAGTTCATCAAGGTGC